AAACTTTTAGGAAAGGCATTCCTGAAATTTTTAAATAGTTTATATGGTTTAAAAAGACATTCTTAAAAATTGAGAAAGACATTATAAACTTTTAGAAAGATCTTACTAACATGTGTATGAGTATTTTAAAATATCTAGAAATGTTAAGTTTTAGAATTTATGAAGCTTTCTTGAATTCTTAGGAAAAATTCACACGAATTTAGGAAGACCATCCTAAATTGTATGTTAATTACTAGATGATCAAAAAAAAAATTTAGGAAGCTTTTATAAATTCTTAGGAAAGGCTTTCCTGAAATTTTTCAAAAAAATTATAATGTTTTAAAAAGACATTATTAAATATTGAGAAATACATTATAAATTTTTAGAAAGATCTTACTAAAATGTGTATGACTATTTTTAGATAACTAAAAATGATATAGTTTTTGAATTTATGAAGCTTTCTTGAATTTTTAAAAAGATTCATACAAATTTAGGAAGTTTTTCTTAACTTTTAGGTTAGGCTTTCCTGATTTTTTAAAAAGTTTTCCTGTTGTTTAAAAAGACATTCTTAAAGATTGAGAAAGACACTATAAACTTTTAGAAAAATCTTACTAAAATCTTACCAAAGATATGAACAGGCGTAAGTAAAAAAAAAGACACAAAGCGAAAAAAGAGTCAAATTTGTTATTATCAAAAATTCTGGAAAGCTTTCCTGAAACTACACAAATCCTTCCTGAAATTTTTAAAACACTACACAGTTTCACAAGCACAAGTACAACCACAAGTAAGACTAACAATTTCATAAGAAAATTCACGAGCCTATCAAAGATATAACATGACTAAGCCAAACAAGAAAACACCAAAAAAACAAAGAAATCAAATTTGTTAACATCGAATTTTCTAGAAAGCTTTCCTGAAACTACATAAATCCTTCCTGAATTTTAAAAATACTACAAAGTTTCACAAGCACAAGCACAAGCAAGAGATTAACAATGTTATAAGAAAATTCACGAGCCTACCAAAGATATCAACATGCGTAAGCCAAACAAGTAAAATAAATAACTTCATTTTTATAATTGAGGATGAAGAAATGAGCTAAGTACTTTTATTTTTAAAAATTAGACAACTTCATTTGATTCTTACCAATATTGTGTACAATTCTTATTTTGGTTAAACCACGACATGTATAATCAAGATTTTCCTCAATTGCACTCAAAATCTTAATTTTGTTTGTTTTTGTATGATTTTCTTCTTCTTATACAATTCACGATAGGATTCCTTATCATGCACTAAACCTTCCAAAAAAATTGAATCGTGCAAATATTTCCAGTGTTTATAATATAAAATTAACGGTTAATATATTTATGTTTTAGCTTATACCAGATGTTTTTAAACAAATTGGTCCCTAAACATTAAACAAAACATTTTTCTTCAAGTAAACCTTTGTTGTTATATTTCTACTAATTAGTCTCTAATTATGTGTTGCTCTCAGCCGAGTTACACATTAACCATCAATTTCATCAAACGTAGAAGACTGATGAATTAAACTGACAAAGAAAACGCACAAAGCGACTCGCAGAATTCTAACCAAAGGTAAGTCTTGAAACCCCATTAAAAATCACAAAAATGATAAGAGATAAGTAGTAGCATTGAACCAAGATTAATCTTCAGGATAATGTATTCTAAAATTTGGAAATTCTTGAGCGTGTTCAGGATGAGTTTCTGGATTAAAGATAATGTATTATAAAATGTGGAAAGCCATAAGCGTGTTCAGGATGGGTTTCCAGATAAATATTAATCTTCATGATAGACTTTAAGGTTTAAGGTTTAAGGTTTAGAGTTTAGGGTTTAGAGTTGATGTTTTAGGGTTATGGCTTAAAATTCATGTTTTAGGGGTTTAGGTTTAGGGTTGATTTTTTTTAGGGTTTAGGTTTAAAAGTTTAGGGTTGAAGGTTTAGGTTTTAGGATTTAAGGTAAATTTTTTAGGTTTTAGGCTTTAAAGTTTAAGGTTTAGGGTTTAGAGTTGTTGTTTTAGGGTTTAGAATTTAGTATATTAATCTTCAGGATAATGTATTCTAAAATTTGGAAAGCATTGAGCATGTTCAGGATAAGTTTCCGGATTGAAGATAATGTATTATAAAATTTGGAAAGCCATGAGCGTGTTCAGGATGAGCTTCCAGATAATATATAAATCTTCAGGAAGCCTTTCTAAATTATTTGGAAAGGCTTTCCTGAAATTTTTAAAGAGTTTATATTGTTTTAAAAACACGTTCTTAAAGATTGAGAAAGACATTATAAACTTTTAGAAAGATCTTACTAACATGTGCATGAGTATTTTGTAGATATCTAGAAATGTTAAGTTTTAGAAATTATGAAGCTTTCTTGAATTCTTAGGAAATATTCACACGAATTTAGGAAGACCATCCTAAATTGTATGTTAATTACTAGTTGATCAAAAAATAATTTATGAAGTTTTTCTAAATTCTTAGGAAAGGCTTTCCTGAAAGTTTTCAAAAAATAAAATTCTATTGTTTTAAAAAGACATTATTAAAGATTGAGAAAGACATTATAAACTTTTAGAAAGATCTTACTTAAATGTGTATGACTATTTTTAGATAACTAAAAATGATATAGTTTTTGAATTTATGAAGCTTTCTTGAATTTTTAGAAAGATTCATACAAATTTAGGAAGTTTTTTTCTAAACTTTTAGGTTAGGCTTTCCTGAAATTGTAAAAAGTTTTTCTGTTATTTTAAAAAGACATTCTTAAAGATTGAGAAAGACACTATAAACTTTTAGAAAAATCTTACTAAAATGTGTATGAGTATTTTAAGATATCTAGAAATGTTAAGTTATATAATTTATGAAGCTTTCTTAAACGTTTAGGAAATATTCACACGAATTTAGGAAGACCATCCTAATTCTATGTAAATTATTAGTTGCTCAAAAAAAATTTAGGAAACTTTTTCAAATTCTTAGGAAAGGATTCCCTGAATTTTTTAAATTTATTCTATTGTTTAAAAAGTCATTCTTAAAGATTGAGAAAGACAATATAAGCTTTTCGGAACATCTTACTAAAATGTGTATGAGTATTTTTATGAAGCTTACGATGACCATTCTAAATTGAATGTTAATTACTAGCTGATCAAGAAAGAAATTCAGGAAGCTTTTCTAAATTATTTGGAAAGGCTTTCCTAAAATTTTTAAAGAGTTTATATTGTTTTAAAAACACATTCTTAAAAATTGAGAAAGATATTATCAGAAAAAAGAACGTAATATGCACTCACGACGCTAGTGTGCCGTCAGCGATTTTCCGAACAAGGTGCGTAACCAAGTAAAAAATGTTAAAAAAATATTTAACACCGAATTTTCTAGAAAGCTTTCCTGAACCTACACAAATCCTTCTTGAAACTATACAAATCCTTCTTGAAAACAAAACACACAATTTCAGAGGCACAAGAAATGTCTAGAAATTTCATAAGAAAATTCATGATCCTACCAGAAACATCAGTATGCGTAAGCCAAACAAGTAACCAATCAAAAGGTTTTTTAAATTTGTTAACATTAGATTCATTGGATTTTTTGGAAAGCTTTCCTGAAACCATATAAATCGTTCCATAAATTTAAAAAACAATACATAGTTTCACAAGCACAAACAAGAAACTAACAACGTTATAAGTAAATTCATGAGCCTACCAAAGATATCACCATGTGTAAGCCAAACAATAAGACCCCAAGCATAAAAAAAATCAAATTTATTTACATCGAATTTTCTTGAAAGCGTTCCTGAAACTACACAAATCCTTCCAAAATTAGCTAAATATACAAAGAGAGAGGAAAAAAATATGTTAATGCTTTTCACTTGATAGAAACATAGGTTAATGGTTACGCTCATCTCCATGGTTAAGATTTAACTACTTGCACATTTACTCAAGTTTTTCTGAAAATTCATCCTAAATATTTTTATATGCTATCATGAATAGTTGATATGTACTTTGGTAAATGTATACACCCAATAAATAGGAAGTAAGAACTGTTTAAAAATTATAGACCGGTTTTCATGTTTAAAAATTGCTGATGAAAGAAAGGACGGAAAAGCTGGAGTTCTGGAGAATGACGGGACTAAAAAGGGAAGAGAAGAAGAAAGCGAGAAAGAAGCTATTGCATGAGCAAAGTTCATTGTGGATCGAGCCAAAAGCACATCCTGAACAAGCTAAATTATTTCCCAATTTCAGAATTATTTTTGGAAGCCTATCCAGAAATTGTCAAATGCCTTCCAAGTTTTTTTTAGAAAACTTGTTTATATAGTTAGATTTAAATATATTTATGTGTTCGATACTAACAGATGATTCTCGTCATCCTAACAGTTAAAACACTACTCTTACATGAAAGTCACATGTCCCGCGAGTTTGATAGCTCTAGGAAACAGAATTATTTTCTGGAAGCCCATCCAATAATTGTCAAATGCCTTCCAAGTTTTTCTAGAAAACATGTATTTACAACTAAAGTAAATATATTTATGTGTTGGATACTAATATATGATTCTAATCATCTAAACATTGTTATGTTTTATTTTGTTCTTGCTAGTTCAGATTCTTGGAGGGTAAAGGTTTTGTGGTTGATGCACGGACCATTCAAATGTAAAAATAATACTTTCCAAAAAATATGTGAAGAAAATGATTTTGTTTATTCTCAACAGTTACACTAACTATTTCATCTGGCCAGCTACACAGTACCTTAAGGTCCATAACTATAGTTTCCATTCTTTATACTTAAATTGACCACTAGTCTAGTTCATTATAACTATGTGAGATAAAGTAGGTCCAAGCATTTACATTACATTGATTAGGTTTATTCTTCAAAAAACGTTTGAACACGCAAGAGATATTAAAGGATTCTGAGAATACACAAGACATTAAAGCAAATGAGTGAAACTGCATTAGCATAAAGCTAATATAACAATAGCTTTTTCTTTACAAAGGAGATCTTATGGACGTGGAGACTTTAGAGATATCTTTATCATTATTCTTCGATTTCCCATCGGAACCGAGCGTACTCTCCAAGTATAATGCTGATGGCCAAACACAAAAGAAGAAGATGGTCACATTTTCAGTAAGAGTTTGTGTAAAGAGAGATTTAATTCATACTTGTAACTGTTACCTGTCATTTGGAGAGGCTTCAACGGTCTTCTCGAAATAGAACAAGGCCTTCTCCTTGTCACCATTAATACTCCAAAACGCCTTCGCATATCTGCACAGCGTTTCTCCATCTACCGTTTCAGACAACCTTGAGCTGCGTTTTTCCCCTCCCTCAGGCTGTACAAAATCAAAACTCGACATTAATGCCTTCAAACTGAAAAGTCTATGAGTTACCACAAACTCAAATCCCTATAAAGCCTACTACTTTGAACTACCATGTCTACAAGAATGAATGTGAAGGCTAATATAAAAGGTGGAGATAGATACCTGAAAGTCTTCTTTTCCTTGCTGAGTTCTGTCTCCGAAAGACTCATCAACCTCACCGTCGTCCTCATCATTTATCTCCCAGAGGAAACTAGCATATGCCCCAAGAACATTGCTAAACAAAGAAGAAGAAAAACACATACACACACTGATCAGGTTTTGAGTAAATAACCAATTATTTCACCAAGATGAAGAATGTTCAAACAGATCCTATCCTCAGGAGATGCTTGAACAGTGCGTTCAAAGTAGCTTAATGCTTTAGCTTCATCCTTGTGAAGCTTCATCACCAATCTACCATAATTCGCCAAAGCAACTCCATCACTAGGCTCAACCACAGTACACTTATGATAATACTAACAGATGATTCTAAACATGTAAGCACCACCAGAAAGTTCCTTGAGGTTGACAAGAACCATTGCATTGGGCAATGGCTTTGTGAGTTGCTCTGATAAAGGTGCTATGACTCCCATACTTACATCAATCAACCGTTTAAGAGCCAAACGCTGTAAACATAACTCCATCCAAAACCAAAACTTTCCCATATGTCGCAGACTAAAAAAACAAAAAGAGTTCATAAGTAAAAATAAAAATAAAATTCATTCATATAAAAACAGAGTAAAGGTCATTGCTTCTTGGTTGTTGATGTGAATTACCTGGAAAACAATGACATCAGACATATTTTCACCATTTCCGATTTTAAACTGAAATAGTGAAAAAGTAGAAGGCATCATAAAATGGTAACGTATCTCTGACGAAGTCTCTATTACGTCACAAAGAGATTCTCATGATAACGTGATCAAGCAATACAAACATCAACACAATAACAGGATAAAATATAGTCAAACCTTCGCATATCCGGATTTAGCTAGATTCACAAGGAAAGGGACAAACTCCGTGTCACCAGGTCCAAACACAATACTAGAGCGAAGTGCACACGTTAAGACCATCACGGTTGTTAGCAAACTTAATCAACGCTTCCGCTTGAGCTTTAAAGTCTGTCAACATGGATGGGAACTGCAACATAAACAGAGCAAAACATATATCATTCCTAAACAAAAACCACAAGGAAACAAAAAAAAAAATCATCCTCAGGGATTACCTTCAAAGGACGTCTCAATGATTCATAACCATCACGAATAGCTTCAGAACCATCAAAAACAACATCAGCAGTACTGTTGTATATAAGTTTTCTAACTCCAGATTCACAACAAGCAGAAATCACATTCCTTGTCACCATTGGAGTAAAAAAAATCTCGATTTAAACACACAAATTCTACAACGATAATGATATAAAAAACGAGTAAAAGTCCTTTATACCTTGAACTAAAACCTTCTAACAATAAAAGTAATCATGAGAACGTAAATCATCATCAACACAGTGATACGAAGCGCGGCCGGAAGAGAGAGCGTGCGTCGACGAGGAATCAATAAACGGAGACGTCTAGAGATTCGAAAGGCAGAGACGAGAGAGATCCGAGAGGCGGAGACGAGAGAGATCCGAGAGGCGAAGATTTGGTCTTCGCCGGAGAGATTAGGTCGTAGGAGATGGTGAGAGAGACGGTGAGAGATAAGCGAACGACGAGTTTTTTTTTTAGTTAGCTGTTTTATTGAATGAGAGTACTAGAGACATTTTATCCATTAATGAAGGTTATTTTTGTGACTTTTTCTTTCTGATGCTAGTTTGGAGACAAAAACTTTAAAAGGGCTATTATAGAGAATTGCCCTATTAATTATTAAAATATTCCTCTAATTATATATATTTAATTAGTTAATATAAATAATTAAATATGTTATATTAATGAAATGATCCAACTAACTTTTTGTAGTGGATATAAAAAGTACTTTTCTTTTAATAGAAAAAATTTCAAAGAATGAAACAGAAGATATTAACTAAAAAGATAAAATATCTTTAAATTCAAAATCTTCGAACTCAATTGAAATGTGAAAGAAACTGAGAGTTCAGGTCTGAAAGACAGAAAAACTGAGATATTCTTAAAAAGTAAACAGCTACAAGAAACATCATTAGGCAACGAAAGCTGTAGTGAATCACTCTTCGTCGTCCTCATCATCATCACCACCACCTGCTGCTCCGTTCAATGCCTTGACTCTCTCGATCAACTTGTTTTTCCTTTCCTCATAGGTCAACTTCTTCAAGTTGTACCTGTTTATCAATCAATGACACACTTGAGATACCAAATGAACAAACGACCAATTAACATTAATAAGAGTATGAAGTGCTCGTTAATACTACCTCTTGTGTGCCTTGGGGGCAGGTTTCTCGGTCTTCTTGGGGTTGGGGTCAGCGCGGATAGCTGCATGAACCTTTTTGTACAGCTCCTCCATGGTCTCAGCATCAACTCCTTTCTTCAAGTACTGACTGAAGTGAGTCTGAAACTTCTCTGGCTCATCTTCATTCAACATCTTCATGTAGTTTGAGACGTGGCCACCATAGATGTAGTTCCTGTGGATCTCAGCATCGAGTTGTTTGTTTTCTTTGTTGAAACCAGCAAACCTCTTGTCACTGTGGGGGATATCAAGTCCTCCGTCCAAGGCACCCTATATAGTAACCATAAACAAAACCAAAAGTATATTAAATTAAGGCTTGCCAAGAAACCACAATAAAACAGACAAGAACAATGACAAAACAATACAACAGCGGTCAAGATAGGTTTTATACCTTGAGTGCACCGAAAACACGGTTTCCAGTAGTAGTCCTAATAAGTCCGACATCAAGAAGAGCACGGAAAGGTCTCCTTGACTCGGTTGGCTCCACAGAAAAGTCCTCTCCAGTGGCCTAATCAAGAATTAACAAATGAGGTTTAACAAGAGATAAATACCTAAAGTCATATATATGAAACTAAAACAACAACATACCTCTACGTTGCCTTCATACTCGTCATCCATTTCCAACATCTTCAGAACACGGCGAGCCAAAAGAAGCCCAGTGCAGTAAGCTGATTCGACAAAAACAAAAGTCTTTAAGAAACCATAGACACAGAATCAGCCAGCTAAAAAATCACAAAACATAGGACAGATTTAATAATACCTGCAGCGTAGTTGGTAAGACCAACAGTGAGTCCATACTGAGGCAACTCATGTGCGTAAGCAGAAGCCTTGACGATGTCACCAGCTATGCTTGCAGACACAATTTGTGCGACTATGTCTTTGTTGGTGAACCGGACAACAAAACGGTACTTGGGCGTGTTGTACTTGTTCTTGTCTTGGTTAATGAGACGGATTCTTGCTCTGTAATCAGTCTTACCATCTGCATATAAAGAAGAAACCTTTCAGAACCAAACAGACAAAACCAACAAAAAACAAATGAAGAATCAATACCTCTCCTTCTCCTGAACTTGACTTGGTACCTCTTGAAGTAAGCATTCGATTTGGATGGCTTCACAAACACCTAACAGTGGAAACCGTCCCATTTCATTAGTCTATCGTAAGAAAACCTAATCAAATCCTAAGATCTAACAATTGTATCGAAGGAAATAAAGATTCATTTAACCGCATCAGTGATCTCTAAAACAGAGCACAAAGGTACAACCTTCACGCAACAAAGTTTAGCTCGAACTATAAAATGGGATCTTAACAAAACCTATGAATAATACAGAAATACACTTATGAATTATCACTACCATAACTCAGAGAAGGTTATGAAAATAGATATAAGTAAACGCTGGAGAAATAATGCAGGAGATTTCTAAATGAAATGAGAAACAAAATCCGATTGTTTTGAGGAGACGTACGACAAAAAAATCATGAAGAAACCATGGCTGAACAAGAACATAGAGAGACGAAAGCTAGGGCTTACCATTGTTGTAGCTAAGACAAGCTTTGGTGTGTGATGAGTGAGGAGAAGACAAGAGGCGGAATGACCTAAATGCGAGTCCTTATAGTGAAAACCCTAGAAGACTCCTTCTTGGGCTCCTAGATGTTCAATGGCCTGGATTGGTTTAAAATCTATAAAGGCCCAATTAGTTTTTATATTTGGACATTTTATCACCTATCTTGCTTATTTGGGTGTTTCGACAGCTCTGCACAATGAGGGGGTTTTCATTATGACTGCTTCTTTGGCGTTGTCAGAAAATAAAATTTAAATTTAAATATCAAGTAACATTATCTTATGGGCAATTCTCGCAAATACACATTTTAAAGTTTTTATCACAAAAATAAATTTTAAAAACTAAAATGACCAAAATAAGAATTTTTATTTTGACACTTTTAAAATTTTTTCTTTAAAAATATTAAAATCATATTCTCAAAACCTCAGTACTCAACTATAAACAAAAGCTAGATTTTAACCCGCGCTTTAAAAGCGCGAGTATAATTTTACTACTTTGATAAATTTGATTGATTTTATAAATTTTATTAAAATAAATCATTTTAAATTTATTATATTTGTGTTTCAAAAATTTTGTTCTATCCTATTTAATTTCCATTAAATTTTTCATATTCTACTCAGATTGTGGTTGAACCGATAGATCCGGTGACCTGTGTTAATCCGGTTCAGATTTAATAAAAAATTGTTAGTTAAAAATTAGATAAACCTTGTAAAATCCAAAACCTTATTAACCCGTGTCCCGTGATCCGATATCAAAAGATTCACTGAAAACAAAAAAAAAAATATTTTTTTTTGATTAAATAACTCATACATTTTAATATTATATAAGGCTGAAAATTTGTAATATCTTACACTTTGAGGAATTTTTTATTAAGTTATTTGAAAAAATGAAATAAAGGTATAATAAAAAAGTAAAATTTATTGATATATGACAATATTAGTTTCTTTTTCGTTTTTAATAACTTATGAAAGAAATGTTTGTTTATTTTAGATGTAAAATTTAATTTTATAATAAATTTTAAAATATTTTTGAAGGTTCAAAATGTACAAAAATGACATGGTAAATGATATTTTTTAATTTTCATATATATATATATATATATATATATTGAAATTTTATTGTTAAATAATACTAAGCAAGAAAACTAATATTCAAATTAAATAAAAGGTATTATTTACATAAAATTAGAATTAATATTATTTAAAATTCTGGATAGTATTAGTTACCAAAAATATAGGAAACATTCGGTTATTTAGTTTAAATAAATAATATAAATATTAAAATTAAATGTCAGTGGCATAGCAATATAAATAACTTGAAAAAATAGGGGCAAAATCTTAATAGTCATTCTATTTTAATAGTATAGATGTGTAGGATTAATTAACTCAAAGGATGTAAATATATGCTAGATCTAAACTCGCGCAACCACGCAGATGTTCTTTTTTAGTTTTATAAACATACTAGGGGTTTGTCCGCGCTTCGCGCTGAAGTTTTAATATTTTAAATTTTAAAATTGGTATATTTACTGTATCTTAAGTAGACTATGCTAATACTATTTTTAAAATGAATAAATCTCTAGATTATTGTATTTAATATGAAAATTTATAATATATATATATATATAT